AAGAGGTATTTCAACGAGGACAGACTCAATAAGGGTATTATAGCACAACTAATTTGGCTGCAAAACTCCTATCCTTTAACATAGCCAAGCTAGTGGGGGAAGACAGGTTGCCAATGCTCCGCACTCTCAACTGCATACATCGATCTCGGTGTGATTGTGGAAACAAATAAATAAGTCTTATGAAGAGACGACTGTCTATTCACGTCATGGAAAATTCACCCGAATAGTTAGAAAAGCTGAAGTCAGAGTACGAATAAGGTCAATAACAAAGCATCTCATATACACTACACTACTCGGTCAAGTCATTCACTGCTGTCACCAGACAAACAAACGGAAGGAAGCTACTTTGCAAATCCAGTAGGCTTGGATGTAAGACCTCTTTACAGCCACAAATTGCAGGGAATTAAAGAAACAAAGCAAAACTTTGTACTCGAATGTATCAATAGTCAAATCTTGGTGCTACTAAGACATCTAACTTGTGACACCTGAATTTAATATCCAAATATACGACAAACAGGTAGCCAGTTTAGAACTTTTATCGTCATTCACGATACAACACAATTGAAGGAGATGGTTACGGAAACTCTAAGAACAACAGTTTTACTCCCATGACTCTTGGGTATAGACCCTCGACTTCCAACAACTTCTACACGACCTCAAACCCCAACTGACACAACTAGGTCTCGGTAGCCTAAGGAAACAAAACCAGTCCGCACACAATAGGTGTGGCTCATTCACACTGGACGAAAGTATCACCACACAGAGTATCAACTGGAAAACAAACTTATCTAGCACTGAATGGTTTACACCATCATCGAAAGAGTATTCCACTAATGTCTGTCCAAGCAAGTTCGCTGACAACACCGTCAGCTAAGAATGATGAAACCAAAAACTCCCTCACAGTACACTATATATATTGTTCTTATACACAATCATACACGAGATGTGCAGTCCTATAATAGTAATGTTATACGGCTAGCTAAGTCATGCAACACTGTGGTAACATATCCTCAAGTTATTCGCTTGACGAAAGATGAGGACCCCATCGGCTATGCATTTTATATGTGGTCAAGAGTAGAGGCATGAGACCACTAACTTAATGAGAAACAGTGAGTAGAATCACTTTCCCCCCATTCTTCCATTTACTACCACATATCGTCGTCAATGTTTTCAATTTTTCATACGTTCATATATATAGCATTGCCACTAATACTACTTTAGATATCACAGGCTTCTGCGATTACTTTGTAACTTAATCAATATGCATCGTGAAGACAGAACATTAGGCGCAATATTGGATAACATCCCAAACTTTATCAGAAATAATGTGTGGAATACAGCCATTGCTACCATTGTTATTATTACTGACGGGCTATTTCACTCACTCACTTGTCACCGGCAACGAGCTCTTCTTCACCAAGCAGTGTGGCCAGTTTCACTCAGTTTACAGGGATAAACAGTTAAACACACAAAGAGCAATACTCTACAATACAACAAACTGGCTTACCTGATCATCACCGTCAACATTAGCACGATCACCAACACTGCAATTAATTCCGACTTGTGAAGACTGATGGGATAAACCACAATACAAGATAATATCAGACCAGACATAATGAGTTAACTCGACCAACTCGCAAACTACAGCCTCATCAAATTCAAACGGGAAATTCCCGTGGAAGTTCCCATCATAATTATCCAACAACTCATCGAAAAAATTCCTATCCTCTTGAACTTCTTCCTCTCCAATATATGGTAAGTTAGCCAACTCTTTCTCATCTTCTACAGAGAAATTCTGTTGGACCGTAGACCACATTGAGAAGCTTGGCAATGCATCCACGTGAGGGATTACTGTCACGGGTACATTGTAATTTTCATTGTTGATTCTAACACCAAAGAAAGTAGGCTTATCACACATAAGCGGAATTCGTATTGGTTCACATAATGAAACTGTATTGCCATCAGTACTATTATTATTATTATTGGCATGAAATGCTTTGTCCTCATCGTCATCACTAGCAACAGGAGCAGAGGACGCAGGTAACAGTTTCAACAGCATCTTCCTATTGCTTGTTAAACATTCATCTACATATTTCCATTTGTCTACTAGATTACTGAGTCGTATATAGTTGTACACCTTTCTAATCACCTTATGCAGGCGGTGACGATGTTCATTCAAAATGCTGTTATATGACCTAATCGAATCCTTGCTGGTAATAGTTAAAGTTGTAGGAGGAGGAGGAGGAGGAGGGGAGTAATAGTAGTCGCCGTAGTAGTTTGCCGTCGTTGTCTCAATTGACGAGAAGAATATATCTCACCAACTAAACTGAATCTTCTGCTTCCTCTTCTTCCTCTTCCTCTTCCTCCACTTTTCCTAACAGCATTCTCAGTTTCCGAACGATACGATGATCGACGCATCATCTGTGGGAAACAATGAAAAAAAGTTAACGAACCAACTTGTATAAGCAAACACTGAGTAACACAGCAGAAACAAGTGACCATGAAAATTCATAATCACACACACACACACCACACAATTCAGGTCGTACAAAATACCTCTACAAAAAGCATATAAAACACTAGAAGGCTTCAAAACCTTCATTTCATAGTTTAAAACACGTAGTTCAATTGTTTTACAAACTGACATCTTACAACACACTTTCATTCATCCTTGAATACACAGTGTGTAGAAAATACACCATTGTCATACTCGGAATGCTAACCAGCCATACTCACAGGTCCAGAGGTTCAATTCCTCATCCACGAATTCCCAAAGACCTCATCTACTTATTTACTACCCGGTAGGCAGTAAGCCTGGAAAAGCCAGCAACAAAGATTTGACCGTGATGCAAGCAATCCCACCAACACCATAGCGACCAAAACTTTCAAACCTTACGTCGAACAGCAGCACTAAATGAAATCTAATTCGAATACGTTCGCTTCTGCCTGTGTGTCTGCACCGCGACTAGCACATATTTTCCGGACAAAAAGGAAAACACCTTGCCCGACCAATCTTTTCGTCAAACACTTCATAATCAGAGGATATATTTACGAGAAAGTAAGTAATGATATGCGCCCACATCGTCACAACAAGCACACAACCAGTCATCCTCAAGACGAGAAAAAAACAGTAAAATCAAGCCAACACTCAAACCGGGAAAGAAGTAGTGTTTGTTTGGTGTGAACGAATGTTTTATTGATAACTTTTTACATGACTTTTCGTAGGATGTTATAATTAGAGCAGAAAACGTTGCAATATAGTAATAACAACAATCAAGAAACGCTTTCATCTTGACGTGAATATGGAAACTGTGATGTTGTCAGTTGCCACTTCATAATCCCATTCCTTGTCTTCAGTTTCCACAGTGTCCTTTACTGGCTGCTTGCCTTTCACCTTAAACAACAAAAATAGATAATAGAAATCAATCATAAATAGCAGTACACAACAAAAATCATTAAAAAGTAATGTTATCCTACCTCCTCTATTCTTCTATCTAAATAAATGCATAGATACAAGTGGTATTCACAATCACACACGAGCATAAGTCGACTTCCACTTTCTACACCTCCATATAATTACAGACATATTAGGCTTGGCCATAGGTGGTAGACTACTATGCTAGCATACATAGTTAGAGGATGAAATTTACTTTCGGCCTAATTGCTCTCCCCAACATCATTCGTCAGTTTAAGCATCTTCAGTGTCTGACTAAAGTTAAACTATGTCTGAGGATTTTTCAATTATGACGTCAACCTGTTGACCATTTTGGTCAGGTAGTTAAACTTCAACTTTGCCATCGATGACATTCTGGAGTCAGCTCTGAAGGATGTGCGTGAAGGTGGTGTAGATCTGCTACCTGGAGATAGACTTTTCGACCTCGAATATGCAGATCATATCGTCTTACTGTGCGATAGCATGCAGGCTGCTCAAATCGCACTTAATCAGTTGGTGATCAGTGCCTGTAAATATGGTATGTACTTTGCGCCGTCCAAGTGCAAACTACTGTTACAAGATTGGCAGGAGCCTGTACCTGTGGGTGAACCGATTGAAGTTGTTGATAAGTTTGTGTATCTGGGTAGTTGTGTGAGTGCTGGCGGAGGAGTGACGGATGAGATTTCCAACCGTATAATGAAGGCTAAGGTGGCATACATCAACTTGAGCCACCTCTGGCGCCGTCGCGACGTTAGCCTGGCTGTCAAAGGTCGGGTATACAATGCTTCGGTGCCGGCTGTCTTACTCTACGCCTGTGAAACCTGGCCTCTCCACGGCTCTGCGTGTTCCATCATCGTTGTCTCCGCAGGATTACTTGCGTTCGATGGCATCATCGCGTGAGTAATTCCGAGGTTCGGCGGCGAGTCTTTGAACACAGTGGATATCATCATTCATTGAGTGTCGTCATCTGGAAACACAGACTCCGTTGGCTTGAATATGTGCTGTGAATGTCATCTCAGAGGCTTCCGTACCGGTCTCTGTTCGCTAGCCCTGGGACAGGATGGAAAAGGCGGACGGGTGGTCAGTCTATGACGTGGCGTCGTGGAATGAAAGATATTTGTGCTAGATTAGCATCGGTTGGTGCGTCACGACTCCCTCCCTGGTTGGGGTCCGCAAGATAGCTCGAATCGATGGCTCGAAACGTTATCGGATATGGCCAAGAATCGTAATCAATGGCAAACGTGTTGCAATTTGCTTCTTTCTTCCCTTCCTGATGATAGTTAACGAATACTGTTTGAACTTGTTAAACATGACTGTTTTCCTTCAAGATGAAGTTCTCTATCCGTTCTCTACTTATATTTTTCACTTTTGATCGATGTTGTTTTATTATTGTTATTGTGTGGCGCATCTTTCTTGGTGCCGTATTGTACCAAGTTTTTTTCTGCGTTTGAATAAATAAATAATATACAGAGGCATCAATAGCAAATAAGTACACTTACTGCATTACATCAGATCACTTTGATTTTCCCACTGGTCGACTGATTTCATCGCAATGCAGGAAACTCACTAGATTCATTCAATGGGCGTAAAGCATTTCTCACCTTCCCACCACCACCACCACCACCACTATTACTACCGCTAGCAGTACCAGTTTTCCGACTATTGTCCTTATCGCCTCTTTCAATCCCAACATATTTCAACTGTTCCATTGGACCATAACGATAGTCAAAGAATAGTTCTTCCCCCGGGAGAATAGCACGCTTGGCAAATATACCGATTCGATGATCACCGTTCGCCATCACCACCTGTAGACAGACAAACAATAACACAACTGATGGATCATATAACAAACAATTTTCCCGTCCACTCTAGTCGTACAGCACATAATGCCATCACTGTGAAAATAAAGTTATCGGATAAGGGTACACACGGATACAGTGATGGTTTACTTACTGATGACGTCGCAAGCAGAATTCATCACTCCTCAGAATCATATCAAGGCAATCTCTCATGCAATCCCTTCGCTACTTCCTTCATAAAATTCTATTACATTTCTTATCCTTTCATTTTATTATCACTACTATTTACACACACACACATTCAATAGTGTAGAGGGAGTTAAATTCACCTTGGAATGGAGTCAGAAAATCCACAACGAGAATTACCTGTCATGCTGGATTATAAAACAAAAAACCAACAGGAGAGGATAAACTATGCACCAGAGTTTGTGGAGAGCCAGCCCACTCTAATCTAATAGACATTTCCACATTAATTTATCTAAACACCCGTTATCGGTAAAGGCAGGCTCATTGAAAATGCTGAATTCACTGACGTGTGGCCTTACAAATTTGACTTCGCTTCCAAAGGGTTATTCTCTCAGGCACAACTGCTTTACAATGACACCTCAGTGTCTTCGAATACACTCCAATTGGCCGGAGACAAACAAAACTGTCGAATCAACTAGGACAGACAATAATAATAATAATAATGACTAGAAGATACCATATGCATAATTACATTCTCCTCAAGGACACTTCTATCACACAACATCAACGTCAACAGTGTACAGCCATTATTTTCTATATCACACTAGATTATTTCCACTAAACTCACTCAATCATCTTGAGTATCAAACACTGAAACATGCAAATACATCACGTAGAAGCCCCGAATACGACTGACTGTCCAGTGAAGTGTTTGACACGACACTACTCACTGGTATATACATACAATGGTTGACAGTATACTTTATCCACGGTGCAAAAACTAGATCGACAGTAACGGGAATATATGTGTGTCACAGTGCACGGATGCACAGGTTCCAAACGAATCTTTCGCTACACACACACATTCACTGTCGAACACATCCTATCATCATTTGATTACCAACGTTTACATAATAAAGTAAAAATATTTACAACATAACACACTTCATTATTACCTATCGTTAAAATCACTACACACAGAGACAGACAGTGAAAATAGATTTAGTGCGAGAAGATAATAGTCGTCGTTATGTTAACTAAGTCGTCTTCTCTCTATCTCTCACTCGCTGCTCTGTGTGTGTGTGTGTGTGAGGGGGTGTACACCTACCTAGTGTCTCCACCAAATTCTCAGATTCTCCTTTTTCCCCTCTCCCCCCCCCCGCAACTCCACTACTCATTCTTTAGGTGAATCAGATGCATATTCAGACAACGACTGAAAGGAACATCGCGCACAGCAACAGACACACACACACCTTGTGTACACACCTTCTCCGTGTTGTGTTCCGTAGATTCTCACAGTGACATTCCCAATGACCGATTCTTTTATTGCCTCTACATGCCAACTGGAACATAGGACAGCTTCGAGCTCTCAAAACTTCAGTAGCAGCTGTGTGTGTGCTTTTGTTGTCGCCGTCGTTTATACACCGTGGAATTGCTCCCTTCAACATCCATCGAATCTACTACTTTCCAGGGCTTACTGCTAGTCACGTCAAGACAGATGTCAAGACAGCAATCGATCGAGAATAGAACCCTAACTCCTCCACAGCGTGACTACTGACTGACTGACTGACTGAGCATTCATTCTACCATTCAACCAATGACGACGCAACGGCTTCATCACTATCATAAAATCAATGGAAATGACAACAGACAGAGTGAAGAAATGCATCCCTTTACAAATTAGCTCTGCATTGTCGGTTCAGTTTCACATCAAAATTTTGCTAATCACCTGATTGTTAGAAGTGAAATGAAAACGTGGTCAACCCCTTTCTGCAGATTATTTCTACTTGACAAGAAGCCATTCCAATAAATATGTCATCCGAGCCAACATTACCTACCAGCCTATTCACAAAACTATACTATAGTAGCCGCAGAACCCATCCATTCAGTGAGTAAACGCACACACACACACACGTCAGTAACAACCACAGTCATAAAGTCAGTCAACATACTTTACAAGAAGAATCGAAAAAAGCCTATTCGAAAATGATCACACACATTTAACAGAAAACACTGAAGCATCAATAAACTCACATCACAACACTTTTTCGTTCCAAGTAATTTCGACAATCTACAGCACCAGTTGTATAAATTGTACGATGGATCTCCGTAAGGGATAAACAGTGGAGCTAACACTTCATATAGACATTTTTCATCATGACTCCATTCCACGTTGCTGGGTGCACGCGTTGCATCACATCTTTTATTAGTATTATTGTTATTCATTGAGTTCTGTCCAGCAGTGTCATTCACCGACTGGCGAACACACCATGAACCACAATATGGTCCATCCATTTCTAGAAATCACACAAGTAGAGAAAAGGAGAAGGGGAAATATACGCATCAAGTCTGAGGAGAAATATTCCCTCACAAAAATCAATAAATTATAGCATTCTTATGATTGATATTATTTCCATTATGGATTAATTTCAATGCAGATTTATTCTTGTGATAATCACAGAGGGATTAGCTTGACTAATACAGTATCTAAAATCCTAGGCTCAATTATACTGCGTAGACTAAGTGGTGCTCGGGAGGCAGAAACACGAGAAAACCAGGCAGGTTTTAGGCCAGGAAGAGGCTGTATTGATCATATCTTCACCCTTCGACAGATTCTAGAACATAGGCATTCTTACCGGCGTCCAACAACCGTTATATTTCTTGACCTAAAGGCGGAATTCGATTCTGTCGACCGAGAGGTTTTCTGGAGATGCTTGGCTGTAAAGGGAATGCCGAAAAAATACATTGCACTGATTAAGGAACTCTACTCGTACTCATGCAGCCAGCCAGGTGAGGGCTTACGGCGAGTTGTCATCTGAAGTGGTGACAACTAGTGGCGTCCGCCAAGGAGGCCCATTATCCCCATTTCTATTCAATTTCATCATAGACGTACTAATGGATTTAACCTTAACACACTTCAGAGGCTCAGGGATTGACTTGCTACCAGTGTATAATCTCGTTGACTTAGAATATGCGGACGATATAGTCCTTCTAGGCGAGGACGCTGACAAAATACAGCAGAGTCTTCTGAAAACCTTGGGCAGCAATCTTCGTATGTTTGGCATGCGATTCGCCCCTGTAAAATGCAAAGTGATGTTGCAGGATTGGACTACACCGACTCTTAGTTTAGAAATAGGAAGTGAAGTGGTAGAGCACGTTGACCGCTTCACTTTTTTGGGAAGTCGCATCAGCCAGTGCCAACGGGTCGATCTCTGACGAAATCTCACTACGAATACAGAGGGTTAGTTTTGCATATGCCAGTTTACGCCATCTCTGGCGTAGACGTGATATCCGACTATCGACCAAAGGGCGTGTGTACTGCTCAACAGTCCGCTCCGTCCTCCTTTATGCCTGTGATTGACACCTGGCCATTGAGAGCAGAAGACATGAAAAGATTAGCTGTCTGTGATCATAGGTGTCTGCGTTCTATCTCCTGTGTGAAGTGCTATAATAAGTTGAGCAATATTGAGGTTAGGCATCAGGCGAGTGCTAGGTAAGGAGGGGAAATCAATCGATGAGACTGTGAAATTACATCGACTGAGATGGTTAGGACATGTGTTACGTATGCCTAGTCATTGCCTTCCTCGACAGACGGGCAATGTTAGCTGATATAGGGTCAGGCTGGAAAAGAGCTAGCGGCGGTCAAACGAAAACATGGCACCAGTCAATGAAATCCACAACAGTTAGTCTACGCCATGTAGGAAGATGTAGACTTCCTGACTGGTTGGGGTCCTCGGGACGGTAAAAACCAATGGTTGGAAACAATTGGTGACATGGCTCAAAGTGATCGTTCTCAATGGCTAACGCAGATGCATCCACTCCTTGTGACTTATGATTTCCAATAAAACTGTTTTGTTCTTCGTTATTACTATTCCTTTGTCTCACACCTCTGTTTACTGTCTATATTATGCATTTCTTCTACTTTCTTCTCTTGCTTTGTGTGCTACATGGAATGTGGCGACTTGAACTGACGCACATATGTGCAAAGTTCTATGTCGAAAACCGACCGACCGATCAATGCAGATTTCGTCACCAATCGACACCAGTTAGAGGGAGTCATTGAAAACCGGGAAACACTCGACAGCTGTTTCGCCGTATTTCCAATCCTCCAGTAATTCCCACCCACAATCCCGACAAAGATCGAATAATCTGCAACCTTCGAGTTACCGCCACCATATCAATCACTCCGATAAACACTCTCACTGACTGAGTCGGAGTTCAACGACCTGTCAATTACCCTTACACAGCTTTATCCTCAACTAATGCCATCGGCGACTATCCATCCATCTAACCCTAAAATGGCAGGCGTATCGTATCCCACTGGTCACTCCTTCTCACTCCACAACAATTTCATGGCATTTATCCGGTAGGCATATGTCCGCTGCAGATATGTTGAGATATATTGACACTGCGGTTTTTTGTTGCGGTTTGCATCAATTTCATTATAACTATTATCCCCTCGGTTCTTCACGAGTGGAACACAGACGTTTACCCATCCCGTGCACAACTCTATTTCACTCTCATTCTCTCTAATCCTCTTCTATCAGCTCACTAACCCCACTACCAATCTCCATCAGCTTTCATTGCATCCACACCTCAAACCATCTCCTCCATCCATCTCACCTTCGGACGAACATCCCACCTTACTAGTTGCTCACCTCCCGTTTCATCCATTCCAGTTCCACCCGAGAGCATGCTTCATCTGTAACATCAATCAAACATCTCCTCCGACTATGTCCAATCCATCTGTCCCCATTTCCCTCTGCATACTTCTTGGCCGATAGGTTCTTCATTACCGTGTACGTTGACAGAATTCATTCTTGCTTAATTATCTATCTATCTTTCCCAGTCAGCCATTTCATATTCACTATTGACAAATACAGTCACCCAAATAACAACTTGCAAATCCCTATGAAGGCGACGAGGAGCCACAACACACCTATGGCATGTGTGTGTGTGCGCGCGTATGTCTGAGGGGCAGTGATAGTAACACCTACTGTTGCCCGAACCACTCTCGGTAGATGCAGTGATAGTTTAAACCCGTCACCCAGTTAGTTGGTGCACAGTCGACACCCTAAACCAATGAGCACCACAGATCCACTCACGAAGATAAAGAATCTGCGGTATATACATACACTCACATGTCGTTCATAAATCATACCCAATCTATAAATACACGACTCTCAAACTCAGCTCTTTTCATATCATTTAAAGCAAAATATTCGAATGAGAGGACGAAACAAACTAAGTAGCACAGAAGAAAATTCAGTGACACAAAGTAAACGGGAGACTATCAAAATAAAAATGAAACCATCATCAGGTCGGACACGTATGCTGAATATATACACACATGCATATGCTGTCGTTGATGGTGATTGGTGCTTGTTGTTGTGTGTCTAGTGAGGCAGATTCTTTCTACTCGGTGGAGGGAGAGGGATTCAACAAACTCCTTCTGAACAAAGAATTTCGGTTGATAACGCTCAATCGTAACTCCCCTACACCTATGCTTAGCAATCCAAGGCGGACCAATCTAGGGAATTCAAGTGACACCTTCAATAGAATTGTAGAGGTTGGATTTGTATCAGTCTTCTCCTCAACCTTACCTACTAGATGTGTCAATATCCAGTTTCACCTTTGACAACCTTCAACAAGGCCATCATGAGCTTCACGAGTCTTTCTGCCTATGTAACTGCCTCCACGAGAACACTTCAATTTGTAAGTCCAGCACCCTCAAACGACCAAACCCGTTAGCCTATCTATCCTTCTCCTACCTGCATTCAAACATAAACATTCCTTACTCCTGCACCCTGCATCCCTTGTAAGCATTTCTCTCCATCTCTTCTCGTCATAGAGACTTTCATTCTACTAACCACATTAGTTTCAAATGTCCAGGATTAACGTCTTATTAAGGAAACATAAATCCTGAGATGAGAGATTACCGAAAACACGCACTTCCTTAGATTGTGAATGGTGATGTACACACACACAGAGTTTCGGTAGGTGGAACAATGACAGGGTGGTTGGTTAGCCGTAGAGGAGCAGTAATTCAAATGACATTTAAAAATCGAATTTATCACTAACCGACATTCGTTTTTCCATTTACCGGCCAACGATGGCTCCACATCGACGGCGTAGACTTATACGGATGTAGGCAACAATCATACTTGAAACACCGACGACAAAACAATGTCCGATAGGAGTGTAAAGCATCACCTCGTGAAAGGTTTTTATGTCGACCACTGATCACCGCATTGTGCACCTCAAAGGGATTGTCTAGATTTGGACAAGGCATCGGCGTCTCCTCATTTGACTACAACACAAGAAATAACACATTTTATTGATCCAAACAAACGCACACGCACACACAAACACACAAATTATTGGCAAAACTTACACAGATGTAATCAACGAAGAAAAAACACTAGAACCCCGTAATTTCCTACCTCCCTCAAACACCGATTAAACAAATAAACAATATTGCAAATGA